GAAATAAAACATCAATGAAAAACAAACCAAAGATCATTTCACCGTCTTCGAAAGTAAACTTCTTTCTAAAAAACACTGGGAAAAAGATTTCTTTTGGCCGAATAAACTGGTCTACGAGTACGTTTCAATATAAAGGAAGAAGTGCTCTCATATGCTTTGATACCCCTTAATGACAAAAAACGTACCAGACCCACTTCCTTGCACCATGACTTGGAAACCACACAGCGACTCGATCTCAAGCCACCGTCGATGACATTCTGCCGTCGTTACCGAAATTTTCTCCATCCTAGTTCTAAAATTAAATTGTTCCTATTGCTCAAAAATAAAGCTAAAAGCACTAAGAAGCGTACAACAGCTCTTGAACTGACTTACTTCAAAGAAAATATTTTAGAGTCAACTTGATTTGTTCCATCCGAAGCTCCTGTTGCAAGCTTAATTGATCCTAAAATGCTTGATTGCTTTTTGCGCAGTTTCTCGATGAGTTCCATTGCCTCCGTCATTTCAGCAATGCATTCGAGTCTCTGCTGATCTATATAACTCAATTCAAGCTCACAGGTCCTATAAAAATTTCTACTAAAAATACAAATCACTCTAATTCAAGCGACCCTTAGTACTAATCCAGTGAATAAAAGTGGAAAAAAATGATAATTGCCTAATAAATACCAAGCAAGAAAATAAAAACCTTTGTAAAAGGGGTTGCAATGCCAATGGAGCTGAATTATTACTTTCAAGCAGCCGTTCCGCCTCAATCAGTTGAGACCGCAACTAAAACGACTTTACATATATAGAATTAACAGGCTTCTGAAACAATATTGATAATTTTTTCAAACACATTGTTTGAAATTTCCTATAGAAAGTATACACAAATAAATAGTTTAAAAAACAATCCAAAACAGCCGTTCCTCAAGCTGACCTAGCCTACCCTCTTCCTACTATAAATCAAATCTCGGTTTTATCTTTAATCCATCACCCAATGCAAAGGTATAATGTAAAAGTTTCAATCAGTTTGCTAAAATCAGCAGAGAAGACAAAAATGTCACAGAACCAAAACACCAAATATAAAAATTTAACCGTTGCAACTTGATCATTTTCAGCCGCCGTTGCTTCGCAAAGAGACTGTCTTTTCTTCTTCTCTTCTTCAAACCTAAATGCTACCGTTGAAAAAACTAAAAAATTAAAAGTTGACTTTCGAAAAGTTTTAAAGAATCGGAAAGCCAATTCTGTCCACAAAAAAAATTTGAGAATTCATTCTCTTTAAGATAATTTTTTGGTGACACCTGCAATTTAACATAACCACTAATGAGTAAAATGTAAAATAGAAAGTTTAAAAAAACTAAGACTTCTTTTGCGCTTCTTCGAAGTCATTTTCCATGGATTTTAACTGAGCTAGTTGTGAAGTCAACTGCTCCATTTCAGTATGAGACCGTTTTTGCTGCGTCTTAAATGTCACTAAAACTACTACGAGCAGAGCAGCCAATATCGATAAGGCTATATCTTTGGCACGTGAGGTTCCATCTTCTGAAAATGGTAGTATAAAGAAAAAATAAACCATTATTCAAATAATATAAAAAATACCTGCTAAACCAAACAACACCAAATCTAGAGCCTTTATAACAATTTTCTTCTTATCCTTATATGATTTAACGCCCAAGACATCCGTTAAAAATGATGAGTTCAACAACGCCATCCTGGAAATCAAATATCATCAGTGACAAAAGTTAAACCACCACAAAGTAAATAACAAAAAAAGCTACGAATATTTCACCTTGGTAGCGCTCTTCCATCGAGTTGATTAGTTATTATAGCGTTAGAATACTGTGGAAGTTTAACAATATTCTCAAGCCAAGAAACCAAATCTGATGTAGACCAGGACCGTTCATTAGAAGCAAACCACGATTCCCAAAGTTCATCAACGTCTACTTTGTCGTCGTTACCATGATGAAATGCCATCTCTCGCTTCCCCCGATCCGAGCCACCCCCCATCTCATTCTTACCGATAAACTGAAATAAGCAAAAAATTGATTTAAGCCTTACAAACATTCCAGAACAGTTACTATCGAAAAATTCAAGTAAAAGAAGACATTTAAAACGGCATTCCTCACCCCTTTCGACTCGCTACGATCTATATCACCAGATTCATCAACATCCATCTGTTTGTGAAGCTCCACAACAGCTGCGTATCCATATGGATCTCGCAGTTTTTCTTCTTCAGCAGTTATTACAACAGCTGCAGGAAAAAAATTATAAATTAAGGAACATTGTAAAAAATTATCCTTTTAAAAAATTCCTTGAAAACCTGAATAAGTAATTGAAAAAAGAGAAAAAAAGTTCTGAAATTTTAGTAAACAGAACGAAAAATGCAAAAAACACATAACATAATGTATACAGAATTCAAATATTTAATTGAAGAAAAAGTACTTTTTGTAGTCTTGTCCGCCAAACACGACGGGTGTAAAATTAATATGACCGCTGACAACAGTTTCACCAAACCAAACTTACCATCTAACATTCCCATCTGAAAAAGAAAAAGGCGTCAGACACAGAGGTATTATTACCTACCATTTTACATGAAAGAAGTATGAGCAAACAGATTCTTCAACGCGAGAAGAGAACAATACATTTTCCAAAAGTTACTAACTTTGTAACCAACTATTCATCTACAAACACGTTTGCGAACAAGAGAGGACCAAGCAAACTTAGCAACCGGCACTTCCTACCAAAAAGACTAAGTTTCTGTCAAAACTATTTCCTGTTCACTCCATTTCACTTATTCTCTACAGACAACTACATAATTTTAGACCAAAAATGCAATTATACCAACGAAAAAAACCCAAAAAAGAAAATAACAGGTAATTCCAATATCTGTTGAATGGAAATGACTTTTAAATTAACTGCACCCAAAAATCAAATTTGGCAATATGTAGAAAATTTCAGTTATATATCTTCACAATGAGCACATTCAATACCTAAACAACAGCTGATGTATATTGATCGAATGGGAAAACCGTGCAGCGAATGACACAAAAGAAACAACGCATAAAACTGCCACAGCAAAATTTCTCTCAAGAGTTCCAAAAAAAAAAAAAACTTTCGGAAGGATACATGAAAGAATTAACTGGAAAAGAAGACAATGTAACATTAACCAATTTTTCAAACTGACCACGGACAAATACTTCGAACAACGTAGAACCCGCTTCAATATTTAATCAAATCGACGACTTTGTGAAGCCGGCTTTACCTACAGGCAACAGCTCGTCTAGCTTACATAATCCCAAGTCTTTTCACCTTATAAAAAACCTTGTATTTGCTCATCTTTTTACTAATTATAAACGCAAACAACAGCTCTTCTCTTGACTTTCACAACTCTCACTTCCCTAAACCAATTCATAATGACTCACAAAAGAACTAACCATCTTCAGCCAATATGAACTGGTTGCCCTACCAGCTAGTTCCACAAAACAAAGCTTTAACTAAGAAAATGATATAAAATCCGGTTATTCGAATGTCCATAAATTTTAATTAATGCAAAAATTGGTTAAGCATTTCATCGAAGACAATTTTCAAAAAAATGTAGACTTTAAAAAAACCGATTATGTATTTCATCTAGCCAAAGCTAATCAATAGAACAAAGTCCATAAAAAAGCAACAAAAGATTACACCGCAACACTGGTATCAAAGAAGAAAGACTAAAAAATAATAGTTATTGAAGAATGAACTTATTTACTTTCTCTTAATTGCATTTTAACCTCAATAAACTGTAAAAATTAATCTCGCTTTTCTACACCCCTTTCACTAGCAGTTTTCCAACTTTTTTCTCTGACACTGGCCTTTAACCACTAAAAAAACCGTAACAATGTTCAGAACAATCCTTCCAAAACTTCAACAAGTTACCTGTTGATCAAGTTATTGAATAAAGACAGAAATAGTTTTTCAAAGCAAACCAAGTATTTGATCAGGACAACCGTCAAACTCATAATCTAATGACATTACGCACTGCATACGGGTAAATTTCCTGATGCTTACCATATACAGCTCAAGATAACTGATACATCACTCAATATACAAAATTTGAGTCGCATCAAGAAACTCCAAAGTGACCAGCAAACCTATACGTGGCCAGACCCAGTAGAACATCACACCCCACGACTTGCGGAAAAAAATTGTAACCTATGAGGAATTACTGCAAACTGAAAACCTTCAACAATTCAGCAACGTATTACGATGAAAGCATAACTGCAATTGTAACTCAAGATTATCATAATTCCTCAATAATAAAACATACCCATATACCACCTGAAACATGTTGCATCATGTACCACGAAGTATACAAAGTAAAATAAAAATGCATTAAGAAAAAATTATATCATAAGTTTCAACTGCCGACTTGTTGTGCGCCGTATTGACTTTATTTAACATAATCTCAACAAAACTCGTCCTTTACAAAGAAATGAACAGAAAAAAACTGACCTAAATTACTAAACAAATCAAATTTTTAATTTCTTTTCGAGATGATGAAGATAACTGGTTACAAACAGTAAAGCACTAAACACGAACAACATAATATTACCCAATTCAAATGAAAATTAAGGAAAAGCTAGATATGAGAAGACCATTACAAGTTTTTTAATCAGCAAAATTTGACTGCAACATCATATTTTAGCATATATGTATAACTTCCCGTTCAGTTAGAATGATTATGAAAACCACATGGTCTACAGAACGGTACAGGATTTCCATCTACTTGAGCAAAAAACAATGCTAAAAGAAAAATCATTTTTTTCACTTTTGACTGCTGTAAAGCACGAAAAAATAAAATATTGACGATTTTCCCAAAGACATAAAATCTAAAGTCCATAATCTTTTACTCTCAGACACTATTATTAAGTACTTTCTAGCACACTTAATATGTTGAGCATCATCATCATTATTTAAAGATGGCTGCCCCTGGAAAAAAACATCCTACCAATGAAAGTAAACAAAAAATGTTACATCAAATGCACTTGTAGCTCCATACAATAAAAGACTATTCTCGCCCAAATCATAACTTACAAAAAGATTATTAGCTCAACGCGCTTAAATGAAGCATGCCAACGAAACACTTAAAAAATAACACACAAGAGTAACATAACGAGCTAAGTTTGAAGCAAATGAATTAACCCCTTCAAAATAAATTCAAAAGCAAAAATTAGAACAGAATTTGCAGTGAAAGTGACACAGTAAAATGAGAGATGTGTGAACTGACAATGACAAAAAAAATAAGCAACTCTGAACCTCAGACGATACTGGTAAAAACAAAAAAATTAAATGGAAACTTGAAAAGAGCCTCTTGGATCTTTCAGTAACAGCTTTTGAATAAAAGACATATTTCTCCTACCCCAATTGGTGAAACCACCACATACCGAAACTGAAAAGGATAAAAAAGCAGAAAAAAGTAAAAAAAAAAAACAATTGCTAGTAACACTCCTCAAATTAAATTCAGATCAAATAAAATACAGGATTCCTGCAACAAAAACAGTCAATAAACACAAAACTACAGCACTAAAACAAGTGTAAATATATTAAAAAATAACTTTTAAAATTTTTTAATGGGGTTTTGAATAAAAGAAATTAAAGAATTACAGGTAAAAAATAAAAGTCCATGTTCCATTGAAAAAGCAGACGTAATTGATGAAAACTAATTCAACATAGTTAAATGACGAACAAAAATGCCAACCAGGATACTGAAGACTGTTTGCGTCCAAACCAGTTTCTACTAGATGTCGCTCAAACGTAGAGAGACTCTGAACCTCAAAATATTTTCCGCAAACCAATAGACCATGTAGTTCATCGTAAATTGGGAAAACTAGCATAGAAAATTTTAAAGTGTAAAGTGATGCAATGCTAACCACCTAAGCTTTGTCCAGTGAAAAATTTCTTAAAATTTTTTATAAAAGCTTATTTAGAAACAGGACTTGTCTTTAAAAAAATTTGGTCCAGTGAAAACAAACCATTTCTTACCTCCAGCGCATCTGTTGTGCAACACTGTTCTTCGTTCGGATTTTTTTTTAAATTCACAACAGATATTTCACAACTTATATGTCATAAAGAGCTCATCTTGGTTCTTCTGTCAGTCTACTATCCTTGACTATAATTCAAAAGCTAATTATAAAAAACAGTTTAAACTCCATAACATATACTTCTTTCTAAAACACTCAAGCAAGATCTTTACTGCACAAAAAATTCAATAAAGAACACTTTAAGCTGCAAATCTGAAAAGATAAATGTAATTGGAGGCTAAATCACACTTTACAATAGGAAAGACAAGCGGAAGTGATAAAATCTACCAAAAGAATACCAGAACAACTATCAAATTTTACTAAAAAAAAGCATCAGAAAGTAGTTACTATGTGAACAATAAGGTAAAGGAACGAATGCAATAAAAAAACATAACAAAAGCTCACACGAAATGAAAATATGTAAACTGGTTATTGCGAAGGTGCAAGTCAAGAGTCTAGTCCGAATGTTCAAATGCCCATGTAGCGATGAACCAAATCAACAGACTTACTTTAGGTTTTAATTATCCTCATTACATGCATAATGCTCCTAACAAATCCATTAAGAAAACTTAATACATAAGTTTTTACATATAACTCCGCGCAGATCTTAGCATTTTCAACAAGTTATAATTAGTTAGCTAAAACCATTTGGCACCTCCGAATAGCACTGAGGTACTAACCATCTAAAATATTCAGATAAATCCTGTCTTCCGCCTCTTTCAGATTACCTAAGTTGAAACATGTAAATACATCGCCAGTCAGTAATATAAGTACTCTAAAAGTTGCCACATAATTACAAAGTAGTTTGCAGTACTATTCTTAGCTGATTTCCATTCAAATTATTCCAACATCCTAAACGACTGAAAAAACAGTGCAACTTTCTACGGGACTTTTTTGTTCTCCTGCTCACCTCTCCTTCCCCAAGTCAAAAAAAGTCATTCGAGATAAATCATCTTCTACAGCCAGCACCAGTCTTTGCGATGACCACACAAAAACGATACAAATTTTTATAAAATGCGCTGATCATTCGGTAGCAAAACCGTTTCATCAGTAGAATACCATGAAATACAATACCAAGTCAAAAGAAGCACAAAATACAATACGATACCTGGAAGTACAGGGAATTGTAATTGTGGAAGCAAGAGCCAGCGTTAGTTAACAACCATAAAATCAGCAAACCAGCGCAGACGTTGTTGCTACCCTTTCGGATTCCATTTGAAAACAATCATTCTCTCTCCATTCGAACACGAACACCTGCCTAAAAAATAAGACCTCATCATATGACAGAAATTGTGTTTCGGATGCGCCATTAATTAATACTAAAGATCAGAATGGCGAAAATTACAGGCCAGAATCTAAATAGAACACAAAATAATATTAGCGTTTTTGGTTAGTAAATGCAATTTTTCTCCTGGGTATCTAAGAGAGCAAATAAACAGTGCATGCCCAAACTTTCACAGCTTATGT